CACGTGTCTGAAACTAGTACTTTTTATAAACATATAATAAACTTTTACTATATACATACATGCACAAAATTGAAAATTTGCTACTTCCATGTAATTTCAATAGAAGAAACTTTTTTGTTATAGTTATTAAATAATGACTACTATTTCATAAGTTAGGCAATTTTCTAATTGAAAAGATAAACACATTCAATTTTTAAAAATATTAAATGTCTCACTGGGTGTAAAGTTGTGCGAGTTTAAAGGAGGAACTTTTGAAAAAATAGAAAAGATATATTCCCTTTATTTTTGCAGGAGTTATATTTTAAAGAGCTATTATTTCATCTTGTTTTCAAATATTTGTGGGGTGAATATAATGTAATCTAAGTTGTACATTTACTGTGTTGTTATAATAATGTAATAGATATTGATAATTATTTATATATTCTCTTCAAACATTATATGACATCTTCACAAATAATTTCTCATGTGAAATCTACGTATCAAAGTGATACACTTTTTTAAAACTATTTGATATGATTGTCGGATTGTTCAGCTTTAATTTGGGGTCACACTCCTCTTTTAATTACTTAATTTTTATAAATAATTTTTTATACATATAGTAGTTGTATTTAAATCATTTACAAATATTTATATTAAGTGAGTAAAATATACACATTTTTCTATTATAAAATTCATTTTGTTTAAAAAAAAATTATATAGAAATCTTATAGTAATTACAAGGAACAAACTTTTATTGTCTACTGTTTTACTAAACTAGACATAGGTTGGGCGGACTAATACTCGAACTTGATTTCTTATATTATACTACACGTAAATTACCCCCTAACAACTCATTTGAAATCCCTGATTGCACCTGTTCTTTGCTACTACTATGTAATTTCACTGGAGGAAACTTTTTCTATCTCATTAGTGGCAATTTTCTAATTAAAAATATTAAAATTGTATGACTGTTAGTAAAGTCGTTTGACTTCATAAAGAAGTTTTTCTATCACACACTATATATATATATACACAACAAGCTAATTTTGTAGTTAGATATATGCAATGGAGTACCAACAATTGCTAATAGCTTTCTGTTTCTATTCAATTTTTTCCCAACAATCTCAGCTTACATATGCTGGGACAGCTCGCGATGAAGCTTTCTATTTGCTTCAATTTAGGCAAGGACTCAGAGTTGATTCAAATTCAGTGCTCTGTGAAAACAAGGCCCGAACCAAGAATTTGTCCTGGGATGTTACAGGAGATTGTTGTGAATGGGATGGTGTTACTTGTAATGAATTTACGGGTCATGTCATCTTTCTTTGAGCTGTCTTAGGGGAACCATCAATGCAAACATCACCCTCAAAAAACTTGGTAGACTCAACCTTGCCTTTAATGAGTTTCCACTTGGAAATAGCATTAGTGAACTCACTAGTTTGACGCGTCTCAATTAAATCTTTCGGATGATTCCACCAGGGTTATGCAAGTTGTCTAAGTTGATTTCACTTGATCTCTCCTGCTATTACATCCAAGTTGGCCGAACAACATTCACAAGTTTGCTGCACAACTTAACCAACTTAGAGGGGTACTGTTGTTTGATTATGTTGATATGCATCATTTGAGTTGCCTAAGAATTTCACTTCTTCCCTTAGGTACTTAAGTCTCGAAGGAACCAACATGTTTGGGAACATAAGTAATTCTCAGATTTTTCATCCACCAAACTTGCAAGTTCTGAGATTGGGATCAAATCCTTTATTAACAGGCACTTTGCCTAATTTTAATTGGAGTTTCAGTAAAAGTATTTTAGAGTTGGACTTCTCCCTTACTGTATTTTTGGGAAGGTGCCTGATGCGGTTGGTAACTCCAATCTCTTTGGCATTTGGACCTCTTGAATTGCCATTTATCTGGTTCGATTCCATAATATATTGGCAACCTCACTGCAATCACAGAGTTGATACTTTCACATAACCACTTCACTGCTAATGTTCTCTCAACTATCTCAAAATTAAACAAACTTGTTCGTTTAGATCTATCTATCAACGAGTTTCGAGGCTCGATTCCAGAATCCATTGGCAACCTCACTGCAATCACCGAGTTGAGACTTCCAGGTAACAGCTTCACTAGTAACGTTCCCTCAACTATCTCAAATCAAACAAACTCATTACTTTAGATCTCTCTTCCAACCATTTTCGAGGCTCGATTCCAGAATCCATTGGCAACCTCAGTGCAATCATAGTGTTGATGCTTTCATGTAACAGCTTCACTAGAAATGTTCCCTCAACTATAGGAAAGCTGAACAAACTTAGTGACATATCTCTCTCTTCAAAAATTTTTGAAGGGTCAATTCCAGACATCTACGCCAATTTTTCAGAGTTATCTTTTTTAACTTTTCATACCAACAATTTCACTGCCCATTCCCTTATTCAATTGCAACCTTGACACGCCTTTTTCAATTGTTAGAGTTGCAAAACAATTCACTAACTGGGCCACTTACCTAATAGGTCGGAAGAAGATTCTTGGAGATCATGGCAATAATATAAGCGGATTTCAAGAGCTACGAATCCTTGATTTGTCGTTTAATTGTTTCACTGGCGCAGCACCCCATTGGTTATTCCATCTTCCATCCTTGTTTTTGTTATCTGTTGAAGCCAATCAATTAACTGGGAAATTGCCAAATGAGCTCAAGAACAGATCAAGTTCCTCAAGACACTTAAATGTTTATCTGTCACACAACAAGCTGCATGGCAAAATCCCTGATTGGATGTTATCATCCATAATCATGGGTACGCTAGATATCTCTCATAACTTCCTCACAGGCTTTGAAAAACAAGTATGGTGTTCAACGTTTTTGTTGTCGCTTAATTTGGAAAACAATTTTCTTCAAGGGCCTTTGCATCAATCTATTTGTGACTTGATTAACCTTCATGTCCTCATTTTGGCTCAGAACAATTTCAGTGGTTCAATCCCAGGATGTTTGGGTAACTCCAGTAGACGCATTTTTATTATAGACTTGCGAATGAACAATTATCATGGCGAGATACCCAGATTCTTACCTACAGGGTGACAATATCTTGGTGTATATGACAATCAATTGGGGGGTTAAGTCCCACGACCCTTGCTCAACTGTACAAGCTTGGTAGCTCTTGATTTGGGGAATAACAAGATAAATGACACGTTCCCTATTCGGCTGGAGAAACTTCCATACCTACAAGTTCTGGTTCTTAAATCAAACCTCTTTCATGGTCCAATTGATTATTTGGAGTCCAAATTTCCATTTCCTGAGTTACGGATCCTAGACCTTTCCTTTAATGGGTTCACTGGAACTGAAGGAATATTGATTGTATTAAAGTGTTAACCTAATAAAGGAATACATGGGAGATATATATAGGAGATATAGGAAGGAGTATTAACCCTAATAGGACTAGGATTAAGGAGTACTAATCCTAATAGAACTAGGATTAGTACACAGTAAATACTAATATTATTTAATACTATTTATTAATACTATCTGTTATTATCCCCCCCATCAAGCTGAGCTGAGCGGAAGCAAACGGAAGCTTGGAACTGAGGTAATCGTGCTGTCGGCTCGGGTTAGGCTTGGTGAGAATATCAGCCGGTTGTTCTTCAGTGGGTACATACTGCACAGTCATGGTGCCGGCCTGAACTTCATCGCGAACAAAGAGACAATCGGTATCAACATGCTTCATTCTGGTGTGTAGGACAGAATTCTTGGCCACACAGATGGTTGATTTGTTGTCACAATAGAGAGCAGGAACAGTGTGAGTGGCGCGAAGTTCGCAAAGAATATATGTGACCCACATGGTCTCAGCAACGAGAAGAGCAAGGGCGCGGTATTCAGCTTCAGTCGAGGATCGAGAGACCTTGGGTTGTTTTTTTGTACACCAGGAGATCAGGTTTGGCCCCAAAAAAACGAAAAACCCCGATGTAGATTTTCTGTCATTTTTATCATTCGCCCAATCTGAATCTGAGAATCCCCAAAGCTCCAAGTTCCCGGGTCGAATGAGTAAACCACGACCAACAGTGCCAAAAATGTACCTGAGAATGCGTTTTAGACAATGGTAATCATGTTCACTTGGTTGATGCATGCGCTGAGCAACTCGGTTGACAGCAAACTGGATGTCAGGACGGGTAATGGCCAGATACTGTAGAGCCCCAATGAGGCTGCGGAAGTGGGTGATATCGAAAAAAGGGGCGTCGGCTCCATTCGTAGACGAAGAGACTGCCATCGGTGTTGGTTGACTGGTGCATTTTTCCAGTCCAGCTTTCTGCAACAGATCTCGAGCATATTTTGACTGATGAAGAAACAAGCCGTTGTCTGTCCGAGAAACCTCCATTCCTAGAAAATAATGTAACGGGTCAAGGTCTTTCATTTTGAAGGTAGTATGCATAGCTCGAGTGACATCCTGAATGAGAGCTGCAGTAGAACCTGTAGTAATGATATCATCTACATAGACAAGAAGAATGACTGTACCGTGTGCTGAATGTCGAGTAAACAGACTCGTGTCGTGTATGCAACATGTGAAGCCGAGTCCCTAGAGGAACGTTTTCAGACGTGTGTACAAAGCACGGGGGGCTTGCTTGAGCCCATACAGAGACTTCTGGAGTTTGCAAACATGTTGAGGGAAGCGGGGATCAACATAGCCCGATGGTTGTGTCATGTAGATAGTTTCATCAAGTATTCCATGAAGAAAAGCATTGGAAACATCCAACTGATTGATGAGCCAATTGTTGCGCACGGCGAGTGACAGTACCAGGCGAATGGTTTCCTGCCGAATAACAGGACTGAATGTCTCAGAGTAATCAAGCCCATACTCCTGATTGTAGCCTTTAACAACCAAATGAGCCTTGTACCTGGAAATACTGCCATCTGCATTGTGTTTAATTTTGTACACCCATTTACAGCCCACTGGGTGCCGCCCATGAGGCTTAGGTACAAGAACCCAAGTTTTCTGATCAGTCAAAGCCTTAAACTCGTCATTCATAGCATGACGCCAATAAGCATTTTTTGAGGCAACAGAGTAGGTTGTTGGTTCACTATCGGGAAGGGGTGTATTTGGTAGTATGATAGCCTGAAAGGTTTTGGGTTTAAATATACCGGCTTTGCCACGGGTTAACATGGGATGAGTATT